CTGAGAAATACTCCTCCTCAGATGCTAAAACATGTTTACACCTGGCAGGCAGGTAAAGCAGGTAGGCTTAGCCCAGGGGCTCGTACCTGAATAGGAACAGTGATTCTAACTGGGAGAGTCTGTGTATCACCCCCAACCCCCAGTGGGGATGCAATGTTTGGAATCTCTAAAACAGATGGCAGGGAAGCTGTTTTAGTTAGAGGAAGTGTCATTTGAAAACAAGCATAACCTGTATTCGAAATGAGCTGTCTTTTAGTCATGATATGAGTTTGGTATTTACGTTTTTGAAAGTTAAAACATTAAGTGAGAAGGCAAGGTATCTTTATATTCATTAAGTGGGAAGGCATGGTTATGAAACACTGAATTAGGAAGAAAAAAGATAAATTAAAAAAGGTTCACCAAGCTGAGCTCATGAAGATTATTAGTGGCCATGAGAACAGTGAAATTGATTTTGTTCTTGGTCAGGAAGACAAAGAGAAGATGCTGAGAGGAAGGACAGGAGGATGGGGCACACACCATCAGCCTTAGGTATTGTCATGCGCATCCGTGTGAAAAGACCACCAAACAGCTTTGTGTGAGCAACATGGCTGTTTATTTCACCTGGGTGCAGGCGGGCTGAGTCCGAAAAGAGAGTCAGTGAAGGGAGATAAGGGTGGGGCTGTTTTATAGGATTTGGGTAGGTAAAGGAAAATTACAGTCAAAGGGGGGTTGTTCTCTGGCGGGCAGGAGTGGGGGTCACAAGGTGCTCAGTGGGGGAGCTTTTTGAGCCAGGATGAGCCAGGAAAAGAAATTTCACAAGATAATATCATCAGTTAAGGCAAGGACCGGCCATTTTCACTTCTTTTGTGGTGGCATGTCATTGGTTAAGGCGAGGCAGGGCATTTGCACTTCTTTTGTGATTCTTCGGTTACTTCAGGCCACCTGGGCTTATATGTGCAAGTCATAGGGGATGCAATGGCTTGGCTTGGGCTCAGAGACCTGACAGGTATCACATATCATCGTCTACAAAAAAAACTATACAAATAAAAAATGTTCCTGTTCAGGAAAGTCCAGAAATTCACTTGGATCTTCTTGGCTTCCCAGTGTAGACAGTGGTGGGGGCAGGAATGTGCCCTTCCCCAGAGCTCTCTCGGTGACTGCAGTGTCCACCCCAGTGGCCTGCAGCTGTTCACCCTTTCTCCTTTCCACTTTGCTGGAATTTGTGAGAAATGGCATTTAGTGTCAAACAATACATAAGTGCATGGGCCTCATGAGCCCCAACTGGTGTTAACCACGCGAAGGCTGGGAAGAAATATCACACGTCAGTGCCCAGGCAGTGCAGGATTGGTGAACTGAAGATAGATGGGCTCAGCACTAGGTGGCTCAGAACCAGATGTGGCCCCCAACCAAGGAACCAGAAGCCTCGGGGGGAGGAAAATAAGAGACACCTGGTTGCAATTATTGTGGCCAAAGCAAAGCCTATTGGGCCACATTCAGGGCTATATCCATCCAGTCGGTGAGAGTATGTGAGGCAGAGAGGCATAGAATGTCCAGTCGGGAGAATCACTTGCAAGAAGAGATGTCTGGGATTTGGTACCAGAGGGAGCCCTGAGCTCTCAGGCTAGGATAATGAATGTGAGTAAAACCCCCAGGGTTCAGGTGTCCTGACCGGGCTGGTAACCCACCTGCCAGCCCCTAGCCTTCATTTTCTGTGTACCTGAGTGGCACCTCCTGCCACACCTAGCCATGGTACCTAACAGGTAGAGCTTGTCAAGGGTGTGACCTGGCCAAGAAAGGTGGGGACAGGCCGGATCTCCACAACCCCATCACACTGGGGGTTGGTCACAGCCATTTCTTAAAACATGACTCTTGTGGTTTCCTCGTTAGAAGAGCCCACAAGAGCCCACCAAACAGTCTTGTCCTCTGACAGCCCAACGAAAGCTTTTTTGGATTCAGTTAGGCTACTTGGAGTGAGAAACAGGCCTCATGACTACAGAAGGTGACTTTTATTACTGCGTATACATGAACAAGGAGTATGACCAAACTTCCCAGCCACCAACATAGAAATCTAGGGCCCCGATGCTGAGAGTGGGTTCTGCTACTATCTCTTCAGCTCCTTTTTCTCTCTGGGAGGAAGAGACTGTACCTGCTGGTTCCCAGGGAGCCTCAATAAACCAACATCCACTGAACACCTTCTAGATGCCAGGAACATTAGATGCATTACCCCTCAACCACAGTGAGAGGTAAATACAACTATCCTACTTCCACAAACGAGGAATAGGTCTCAAGAGAGTGCAGCGACCTGGCCAACTTCACTCAGCAAGGTGGGTTCAAATCTCACTTCAGAGTCACGAAGGTGGGATTTGAATCCAAGTTTCCCTGACCCTAGAGAAGATCCATCTCCACCACACTATGCTACCACAAAGAAGGACCAGTTTTTCATTGCTCTTTGCACCAGGGCACATGGATGATCTGAGACCCAAGAGTTTCATTCTTCTGGACATACTTGGTGCTTGCCGTAAACTGACTAGCATGGCACGGGAGGCAGCAGCCTCTCCGGGCTGCTCCTCCACCTGCTCATAACCGCGTCTGGCTATGAACCACCTCGGCCTGTGCCAGAGCCACATCCGAGAGGCAGGCACGGAGTTGAAGTGCTCTAATGGCAGCAGCAGCCCTCACCACCAGCACCTCCAAGACAGCAGTAGAATAGACAGCAGATATATCAGTGGCAGCGTCTCTCTGGAGAAAACTACAGCCTGGAAGTGACCCAGGACCAAGACCCCAGTCTCCAGTGCCCAATCTGGGCCTCTACATTTGGGAGAGTGGGCGGGAACTCCATGGCTCCGTGAAAGGGGCCAACTGGAGTGAGAGGAAAAACTTGGCAACTTGGCCCAGGCAATTCTCAACACGACCTTCCTTTGACAAGATTAGAACGCGAAGTGATGTGATTTTGCTCTTGGACAAAATACCAAGAGGCTGAAGATGCCAAAATCATGGTAGGGACATGTTAGCTCTGAGTTGTTTTGAAAGAATTCAAACTTGGCAACTAGCATCACTTCCTTCCACCAGTCTGTAGGGATCCCTGGGCAAGGTGAATACACATCCAATGTCAGGAAAGGACCTTCATCCAGAGGCCCCAGAGCACCGCAGGGAGCTCCTGGAAGCAAGATGTCAGGGCCAGTGAGGACACAGGACCTGACGACCAGGACTCTCTGACACTTCACACACAACCAACACCAGGAGGACAGCACTTGGTGCAGAAAAGAGGTTTATTGACCATTTAATGCAGGGAACCCAGTGACATTTTAGGAGATTCTGAAACACTGGAATAGAACCAAAAGAACCAAGAAGAGACACTGGGAAAAAGAATCACTTTCATGGAAGATAATTACAACATTCCAGCAACAACAGAAAATACAGCTTAGAGGCATAGGCGGGGAGACACTCCTTGGAAGTGTCTGCTACCCGTTGATTTAGGGAAAATGCCTCAGTGAGTCTGGTCTTTCTGGAAGGAAGACTGAGCAAGGTGAAGGCCCTCCTGACCCCAGTGCAACCAGCCTCAACCTCCTGCACAGGAACTTCAGGCCTTCAGAATCATCTCCCCATGCTGGCTCCATGGCCAGAGGAAGACCCACCAGTGACAGGGCCACAGCTTGGACAAGAAGTACAGGAGGCAGGCGTGGAGCAGGGATTGCAGGGGAGTCTGCAGGGAGAGAAAGAAAAAGAGTTACATTAAAAAGATGTTTCAGTGATTGATGGACAAGGGTAAGATCAGGTGAAGGCTGGGCCTGCCACCAACAAGGCACACAGACCAGAGAATCTATACCAACAGTTCTTTCATCTGTGTCTTTCCACATCCAGGAGTCCTTGGGGAAGACTTGGTTTAGGGACCTGGCTACCATTTAGAGAACATTTTCTCAGTGATCCAGTCTGCACAGACCAGGAGAGGTTAATGAGTCACTGAGCAGGAAAGCACAGGAAGGCTTGTTTATTAAGATGATATCTTCTGCAAGCACTTCCATCACCTCTGAGGAATTGCCTGACAGTCATGTGTGTGGTTTAGGAATTGCCCAGATTACACGTACTTGCAGTCCTCGCTCTCCAGAAGGTTCCGGTACGTGGCAATCTCATTCTCCAGCCGAGCCTTCACGTCCAGCAGCACCTGGTACTCCTGGTTCTGCCGCTCCAGGTCAGCCCGGATCTCGGACAGCTGCTCCTCCACGTTGCTGATGAGGCTCTGCATCTGGGCCAGCTCCGTGCCGAAGCGGTCCTCAGCTTCACACAGGGAGTTCTGCAGACAGTCCTTCTGTAGTGGGAAATAAGGGGATAAAATGTGCAAGGCCCCCAGGGAAACTGCTAATGCCCCAAATTTTGATGGTGATAACAGGTGGGAGAAACCTGGGCGGTGAGACCTCCAAAATAAAAGGCTACTAGGCCATGGCACGGGGCATTTGCAGTGCAGTGAGGGTGAAGGACACATACCAAGGTGTGCTGGGCTTGGCGCTCCACCTCCAGGGCATTCACCGTGCATCTCAGCTCCAGGATCTCCGACTGGCAGCACTGCAGCTCCTCGGAGCAGGACATGGCCTGCAGGCTGATGCCTTCAGACTAGAGCACAGAGAGACATAGTCACCTCCCTGCCCAGATGGAGGCCAGGTACCCCCTGCTTCTGTACCTCCTCCGTTCACCTGGGCTTGGAACCACTGTTCCACATCCTGGCGGTTGGTCTCCAGCATGGCCTCATACTGAGCCCGCATCTCCCCCAGCACCCTGTTCAGGTCAATGGTGGGCTCAATGTCCAGCTCGATCCGGAGCTTCTCCCCCAGCTGACTCCTCAGAATCTTTACTTCCTGCAGAAAGGAGGAAGGGACAGACAGCCTGTGTGAAGAGAGGACCTTTGATGGAGCAGACAGCACCAGGACCCTGACCCTGCAAGCAGTAGGAGGGGAGTCCCACACACAAGCAAATGGGAAAGTCTTGCCCAGAGTGCAGTGGGGAGAGCCCACCTGGACACCTTCCTCGTGCCCAAGGCAAATCTACACTTTCCACAGAGGCCCTCTGGACCCTCAGACCCCCCTCAGCCCTGCATCCTGATGCCAGCTGAGCCCAGACAATGCTCTGAGAGCCCTGGGGCCAGGGAGCTCCCCTGTCTGCCCAGCGCCCTCCCCAGGAGTCTGAGCGGCCAGGGCCACACCTGCTCATGGTTGCTCTTGAGGGACAGCTGCTCCTCCTTCAGGGACTCCTGCTGGGCCTCCAGGTCAGCCTTGGCCAGGGTCGCGTCATCCAGGAGCTTCTGCGTCCCACACTGGTCCGCCTCTACCAGCTGGCGTAGGGAGCGCTCACTCTCCAGCCTTCCATCACGGGAGGTACAGGGTCAACAGGAATGCCCCAAGAGCCCCTCTCGGCTGCCCTGCCTTCCTACCTCCCACACCACCTTGGATGCTCATTTGTTCACGTGGGGAATATACACTATGCTCAACCCTGTAGCTACAGAGTTTGTAGTCAGGACATTGTGTCCATTGACTACATGGAAGACTGAGGCTCAGAAGCAAAACATGAGTTTTTCAGAATTCTATGCCCGGTTAATAGTAAATGCACGGACTCATCCTAAGTGTTCTGACTTCAAATGCAGCCTTTATTCTGCCATAATGGGAGTCATTTGGCCAGGAAAAAAGAATGGCTAAAAATAAGACTCTGGACCTTCAGTTTGCTGCTTTTCCTCTTTAGTTCGTTATTTCTCATTGTTTTCCTGCTTTTCCCATTCATTCAAGCCCAACTCTTGCTACCAAGGAGCTTCAATGACAATTCCTGCAGCTGATGGATTTGGCCAAGAGTCAGTGAGTCTAGCAACAACCTATGCATTGACAGTTTATTTTTGTGATGACTCAATTTTACTTCTGATTGAAAAGCAAAATCCTCTTATCTTCTAGATGTGGGAGAAAATGACATAGGTTCTAACCAATCTAGACTATAGCCCTTCTTTTTCTTTTAATGCTTATATTCTCTTTCCTCCTATATAATGACCATTTCTAGCAATAAGCTAATTTAAGGTTTGGAGAGAAATATTCTTCTAGTCAAAAACTGTTTTTGAACACCTATAATATAGGCTGAGTAATGGGGCAGGCCCCTGGAAATACAGCAGGAGAGAAGTCACACTGGCCCTCCTCAGCCTGACTTACTTGATCCTAAAGTCATCAGCAGCCAGCTTGGCATTGTCAATTTGTACAATCAGCCTGGCATTCTCGGCCTTGCTGCACAGGATCTGAGGAAAACGGAAAGATGGTTCACACACAAAGCATCATACTCTAAGCTCCCACTCCATGTGTGGTGCCTACGCTCATGTCCAAGAGAAACCAAGAACCCAAAGCTCTCTGGACCTTATGTGGATTCCTCCTGCGAAGGCTTCTGCCTTCTCAGACCCAGCACACCCAAGCGATCCCACACCTCACCTTCTGCTGGAGCTCCTCGATGGTGCGGAAGTAGGACTGGTAGTCCGGGCACACAGTGGACTCGTGGCACTTGCTCCTCTCGAGGAGTGTGGCCTCCAGCTCCGCGTTCTCCCGCTCCAGCTGGCGCACCTTCTCCAGGTAGTTGGCCAGGCGGTCGTTCAGGAACTGCATGGTCTCCTTCTCATGGCCGTTCAGGGTGTTTTTGCCATAGGCCCCACAGATTCCAATGTTGCCTGGAATGTGACAGGTCCCTGGCAAGGGACAAGCATTGTGGCAGGTTGGAGGCAGACAGAGGCTGGGACGGCCCAGGGGAGTCGACCCCACGCGGACTCGGTTGGCATGTGCCACATTGGCCAAAAGGCACATGGGGGCAACGTTGGCCTCTGCCCCAGGCTGGCACCCAACGTCGATAGGACAGACAGAGACATTTCTTGCTCCAGGAGCCATGGTGCAAACCAGAGGGCATGAGGAGCTGCTGTAGGAGGAGGTCATGGTGTAGGGCTGAGACTGCACAGGAGCTTCAGATCAGCTGGGAAGGCTGAGCCACTGAGACTGAGGCCTCCTCTCCTCCCAGCCCTTTTATACCCCGTCCTGGGTGGGTGTTGGCTCCAATGCTTTGACCTCCTGCCTTGATTATCTACCTGTTGTGGTGCCATCATCCTGTTACTCAGCTGCTGAGTTTACCATGAAAAGTTTCTCAGCTCATTAAAGCAATGTTGACAAATCTGAGATGCTTCTTGGCTCTTTGAAATCAGGTTGGCTGTTGGTGGGAAGTCAGAGATTTGTTGTTTCTGCTCAACAAACACCAGCAGTTGATTCAGGCCCCAAATGCTCTCTCTGGACTATGGTCTCTGTGGATGTGGTCACAATGAAGGCCCAAATCTTTCCGTCAGTAATTTGTGCAGCAGGAGAGACAGAGAACCAATGGGACCCAGTGGCTCTTTCGCCTGTGCAAGACTCAATCAGCCTTTCCTTTGAAGAGAAAATATCAGTTAATAAAACCAATGCATCTACTGATATTTGACGATTTTGAGGCGCCTTTTTTTTCTTTCTTCTTTCACATTGCATACTCCCCTGAGAAGCAATAAAACATCCAGAAGCATTGGTGCTAACTAAGTCTTGGTTGACTAGTCAGAATCAGCTATTCATTCATTTGCTCATTCATTCATCGGTTCAGCATGTTTCCTGAATATCCCCCATAACTCAGGCAGTGTTCTGGTTGCTGGACACGAAGTGTCCCCTGTTCATCAGGAGTAAACAATGCCACTGAAATGTCTGGGTGTTCTACACAAAATTGAATGAGAACCATAGATCAACAAGAGTTAGTGAAAGACAGGGGATCTATAGTTCTGGCCAAGGATGAATCTAGAAAGAAACTACTAACAAAGAAAGAAAAATCTTATTTGGTCCAGGAAAGGGAGATTGGGCACAGAGCTCAAGCACTATTCAAACGAAAGGTCCAGAACTAACACTGATTGAGTGCATGGGTGTGCTAGGCCTTCTACTGTGTCCTTTCCTATCTAACCCTTACCACCCTTACCATCATTGCCTCCATGCACAGACGAGAAAACTAGAGTGAAGTACATTTTCTGATTGACAGTTAGTGAACCATCAAAGGCTCGATTCAGCCTCATGTCTGCTAGGCTCATTCTCTTTTCACTTCGCCATGGACCCCCGTGAGAACAACGGTGTCATTGCTCCGTCAGTGCTGGGTCTAAGGGGAGGGAAAAAAGAGGCTTAGTTACTGGGCGACAAATTGTGGTGAAAAGAAAATTACTGAAGGTCTTTGTGTTCCAGCAAAGGAAAAGATTTAAATACTATGGCAGTGAGGACAAGAAATGCACATTAAAAAATTAAATGAGGCCGGGCACGGTGGCTCACGCCTGTAATCCCTGCACTTTGGGAGGCCAAGGCGGGCGGATCACCTGAGGTCAGGAGTTCAAGACTAGCCTGACCAACATGGAGAAACCTGGTCTCTACTGAAAATACAAAATTAGCCGGGCATGGTGGTGCATGCCTGTAGTCCCAGCTACTCAGGAGGCTGAAGCAGGAGAATTGCTTGAACCCGGGAGAACCCGGGAGGTGGGAGGCGGAGGTTTCTGTGAGCCAAGATTGTGCCATTGCACTCCAGCCTCAGCAACAAGAGTGAAACTTTGTCTCAAAAAAAAAAAAAAGTTACACTAGTTTGTAACATATGCATCATTTAAGACAGGGTGCGTTCTGAGAAATGTGTTGTTAGGAGATTTCTTCATTGTGGAAACATTATAGAGTGAACTCACACAAACCTAGATGGTAGAGCCTACTACACACTAGACTGTATACAGTACAGCCTATAGTGTCTGGCTGCAAGCCTGTACAGCATGTTGCTGTACTGAGTATCACAGTCAACTGTAACACAGTAGTGTTTGTGTATCTGAACATAGAAAAGGTAATGCATTGCACTACAACATTATAACCACTTCAACATCACTAGACAATAGGAATCGTCAGCACCATTATAATCTCGTGGGACCACCGCCCATATATCTGATCTGTCATTGACAAAAACATTCTGACTGTATATCCCCAATCCCAGAGATCTCCAGTAGAGCTGGAGAACAAGTCAACCAATGACGGGGTGGCCAGGAGTCATCCCTCCCAAGTGGTAGACGGAAACCAGAAGGACAATGGGACAAACTCTAAAAAGGTATAAATAACCTCTTTTAAAAAAATCCCAATAAGTGGGAAAGTAAATGGCTGATACTAGTAGCAAAACCTTAAATATTTGAAATTGACATACTGGAAATGAGCCATTATTAAGATTTTAAATGAAAATAATAGGATTTAGACATAAAATAGGAAGCAAAATACAGTAAACAGAAATAGTGTAGCCAAATATGCATCAAATATGCATTCCCTTCAGCTACACTTTTACAAGTTTTAGAAAAATCTTAGAAGAGGGGTGGGTGCAGGTCTTAATGCTGGGAAGCAACAACTTTGGGGGTGAATTTACTTGAATGGATTACAAATTGCATTGTTACACAGCTAAAAAAAACTTCATGTATGAAAAATGATAATAGCCTTACACTGAGTACAAATAATACTTAAAAGCGTGTGAAGATGTGAGCATCTGTTATGTTACTTGTAAAAGAAAAAGTTTAGGGTTTTTTCCATACATTATTGGGGTACAGGTGGTATTTTTCCCATAAGTGATGGGATTTTTTTTCCATGAGTATTGGGGTATAGGTGGGTTACATGAGTAAGTTCTTTAGCAGTGATTTGTGAGATTTTGGTACACCCATCACCCAAGCAGTATACACTGCATCCTACTTGTAGTCTTTTATCCCTCACCCCCTCCCCTCCCCGCAAGTTCCCAAAATCCATTGTATCATTCTTACGCCTTCGCATCCTCATAGCTTAGCTCCCACATATCAGTGAGAATATACGATGTTTGGTTTTCCATTCCTGAGTTACTTCACTTAGAATAATAGTCTCCAATCTCATCCAGGTCACTGCGAATGCCATTAATTCATCCATTTTATGGCTGAGTAGTATTTAATCATATATATGTACCACAGTTCCT